GTATCTTCAAGTCTTCGTAGATCTTAGTAGAAAATAATCTTTTTGTTATTAAGAAATTAAGCCAGTGGACCATTGATTTTGGAATAGTATTAAAAAACAAAACTCCATATCAGTAAAGAATTTAAGTAGCTCTTGGCATTTATTAAAAATAGGAGTACTAACATATTCAAAAGGGAAAATTCCTATAAATGAGTAAAAATGACTACCATTTTCCTTAATGCCCTGTTTTCAGATTAATCATTAAATAAATATTTACTTTCTGGCCCTGAACTGTGTGTTGTACACACGGTTGTACACACTGTGAGGTACAAAATAAGATATTGCCTTTGCCTACTTTGAATTTTATTCATACTTTGACAGCTCTCTCTGTGGAGCGATCAAGTGGTTTCTTATACCAAGTTCTAAAACATGTTTAATCTGGTATAATTTACCACTAATTGCAGGAAAATAATCATAGCTAACATTCATTGAGTTCATCTCTGTCTATCCACACATAACACAGTATTTTCACATAGTAGCCACCCTGACATTAAATGAATGCATGCCAGATATTGGGATAAAAGCTTTAATTCAATACCTAATTTAATACTCTCAACAATTAGGAGTTAGCTGACATTATTTCCCCTGTTCTATAGATGAAGAAACTGAGCTTCAGATAATTGAAATGACCTTGCCCAAAGCCACAGTTGTTATGTGACAGTCTGGTGTAAAGAGGAGAGTGGTGAGGATTTGTATTGGTATAGAATTTATTGCTGTGTGCATGCTTCCTGTTTAGACTAAGGCATATAACCATTTGCATAAATGTTATTCTGTTCAAGTAGCCAGGTTCCACACCTGCCCTCAGCATCTGTCCCCTCAGTGCCATGAGCAATCTTCCAGTGGTATTTGTTCATCATAGTACAAAATGGTACAGAGGACAGGAGGCAGTTTGGGGGAAATTTGACCACCATGACTGAGGGGAAGAGTTTCTCTTCTAATCAGTGATTAATATGCCTCTCCTGATTTTAGAAATCCATCTCTGGATTTGCCTTTTTCAGGGGGTCATTAAGATCCCACTGTCTCTTGGATGCTTTGCTCTGTTAGGCAGGAGATGCAGGCAGAGAGAAACTCCCTTGGCATGAATTAGGCAGCAGAGAAAACCCTTGCCGAGTGGGAGTAACCTGTCACAACCTGGTTTTCTCTGGCTAAATGACCAGTCTTGTCTAGTCGTAATGCCATTACAACATTCCCATTCAGATCCCCATGACCCAGTAATTGTTTTGGGAATGAGTGCAAAGCTATCAGACACCAACTACTATAATTAGAAAAGGGAAAAACAGACACTTACCAGAGCTAACGTCTTTAGGCTGGAGCGTTTACAGCACTTTTTTTGGGGGGTTATGGAGCCTCTTTCTCAGTTTTGCTTCCTAAAATACAAACTATACAGTTTTCGGGTTCTTGCATTCCAGTTTTTTTCCTTACTGCAGTGCACTCTTTCCTTTTCCCCCCTATTTTAATCGGAGTACAAATTGCTGTCAGCACATCGAGTTCATGTGCCAGCCACTTTCAGAACAGGGTGTTCTGTGCTCTTCAAAACAAAATTGCTCTAGGGCAGTAAGAGAACAATAAGTCAGAGCTCCAGTTTAAGTGATGTTTTGCAGCAGACTGGGCTCACTTGATGTGGTTACACTCGGATTGCGCAGCAAGGCTCGGTAATTTGGTTCGGTTTGACTTCGTGGGGTTTGGAGGACCTCCCCCCTTTAAGTTACGTAGACTTTAAGTCAAGAGAAAATGTTGTCCCTTTTTAACTTGTGTATTTCTTTCTCTTCCCAAAAAAACCCTAAGTAGAAGCATCCTGTATGTACTTTTATTCTCTTTGGGCACGTCATAGATCATTTACTTCCCGTAAATCATGCTGGTTGGAATTAGCAACAGACCTCCTGAGCCCTAGAGGCCAAGCTCCCAGTGAGTCATGATGGTTATTATTAAATATTTATTAAATGAGTTTTTGCACTAAGCGATACAAGGTCAAAAGCAACCACAGGTCTTCCACAGCCAGAGCTGCCATGGTTTTCTTTGGTAACAATTATCGAGACAATTAAAAAAAAAATTGGATCTATAGGAGCCAGGCTTGTCTGCATCTGTCACCATGATGGAGGTCCCTGCTGCGGCAGTCGGCTCCAAGGTGGGGAGGAGTTCTTGTCAGCTGTCATAGAACTTGTCACACCAGTGTTCCAATTTTAGAAACCAGTTAATCTAGCGAGAGTGTTTGCTACTTGTAGATGTAAAGAATCAATACTATACTCCCTGAGGCTGTGATACCTCCTCTTGCTCTGACATTCCAGATAATGTCAGTATTAAAAGGTTTTATATATACACGTAAAGACTGCTGCGTGTGTGCACGCACGCATGCGTATCAGTTTATCAATTTAAGATTCTATGGTACTGTAGGTAGTGCTTATTCAGGTTCAACTTCGAAGAGATTTAATAGAAAAAAAAGATTGGTCCCTATATAAGGTAGTAAGTATTTATAAGAGTTATTGCGAATGTTTCCCTATTAGGTGGCCAAAAACATTGGTTCTACCATATATTGTTTCTCTTAGAGAGACCAGCTGCAGTGAACATTTTTTTTTTGCTTTCTTAATTATGCCTTCATTATACTTTGACTTGAACTTTTTTTTTTGCTTGCTTGCTTATCTTTCCCAACATGTTTATTAGTAGCCAGTCTTTTCTTTCCCTAATATGAAGGGTTATCACATGTAAAGAGAACTTCTGAAATTATTTATATAATTTTAATATCAAGTATATGCATCAAGCTGAAAAACCAGCCTAGGAAACTGACACACAGGCAGGAATCCTTCACAGAGTCTCTGGATTTCCTGTTTTGAAAACACATTCAAACTTGATCAACCAAAAACCACAACGAATGTACTGATAGTTTCCTCCCCCACTAAATGTACTCTCCATCAGGGAGGAAACACTTCTAACAATAAACCTCACTCAAAAAGATCTGTCAACTAAGTTGTGAGCTACTAGGATAATAAATCTCAATGCTTGAGATGTTCTATAATATGTGGGCCGAAACTCACTTTGCTCAGCAAATCTTTTCTCATGAAAAGTGTCATCACATTAGTCTAAATTAAATTTCTTGGGCAGATTTAAAGATATTTAAGAACACAAATTTTCAAACTCTCAAATTCTTTAGAGACACCAGCTTTTACTCCAGTAAAAAATATCTTAAGCCTAGGATTCCTTGCAGAACCTCTCTAGTGTGTATGTATTTGAAAATAATAAAGTTGAATTTATTTTGAAACTATTTCCAATTCAAAAGAACTTTCACTGTGCTGCAAGCTAAGCTGTATTTTATCTAGAACATTCCAAAAGTGAGTTAATAGAAAGTCATGTGCATTTATGAGTATGGGACATAGAACAAAATTTCTGTATGCCAGCTCCACCCTGAGAGCCAGTCTAGCTCTTGCCCCTGTTTAGAAGGTCTGACTCGAGAGTCAGGCCTTCTCTAGTTTGGCCCAAGCGTCTTCGACTCCACCCTATGTCTGCAACGGGAACAAATCGGGATGGTATTAATCCTAGTGACTTAGAAAACGGTAGAGAACTTCAAAGCATAAATGTCCATGTGACATTTCTGCCCCTAGTGTCTATGCCACTGCTGTTTACTCTTCACGGTTTCTCTCATTTCCTAGGCCTGGGCTAAAGGTAACCTGATGAAATGATTAACTACAGGAATTAGCTTTGAAGCTGGTTTCTGGTCTACATTGAGAGTTATATTACTGGGCCATAGAATCGTAGAATTTTAGAGCTTCAAAGGACCTTTGAGATCAAGTAGTTCAAAAGTAGAGTAAGTTGGAATTGAATTTGGAAAATAATTGTCTCCTGGAACGAATGTAACAGAACAAGTGATTTTTATCTCTAAAGCAAGTTATTGATCTAAAATAGATCAACCAGTCTCAGAAAAGAAGCATTTTAGGAATTCCTTACATTTGAATCAAGGCCATTATATTACAGAAGTAGGAATAAAAAATTTTCTTATGAAAGACAAATTATTACATTGCTTGTCGACTGTTGTGCTGTCATACAAGCCATCCATTTTTCTGACTGAATGAAAGACCTAAGTGGAAAGGAATGAATATCCGTAATATTAAACATAGTTGGAAAGTTTCAAAGAATTTATCCCAGAAGAAAAAGTCTAACTAACCAAGAGAAAAATATATATCTGTATGTGTTTTCCTATTTTATATGAACATAAAAGCCCCTTATCTAATGTAAAATTACCCTGGGAATGAGCTGAGTTTGAGTGCAATGAGGAAGTAGACCCTGAGAAATTGACCTCTTCACTTAACATTTCAGAGGAGGGGGTTGAGTAATTTGATTTGTCGAGTTATAGGAGACTATTGATTCCTTCACATTTTACATTTTTTACTGCACTAAGGGATTACAGATATGTTAGTTATTGATGATGTTGCCTTTGGCCTTTTCATTTTTATTCAGACATATTTGTGAATGAGATTAAAACCCTTAAAGAAAAAAAAAAAAGAGCTTCTATATTCAGTTAACCCTTTAATATCACTGGGGAAATAGCCATTCGGTTGTTTTTCAACCCAAGCATCCGAAGCCAAGATGCAGTTATAAATGTTTAAGCCTTTGTATACTTGATATTAAGTTTGTGGCATTTTGATAATTACCTATTAAATAATCTAGTATTTCTTGTTTTGTGTTATAGGTGAGGAAACCTCTGTCATATAGTAGGTTTAAGTTAAACCTGTGTTTCCACTTTATTATCCTCTAAGCTATCTTACTGATGTAGTTATCAGTAATTATAAGTTTAAACTTAAAACAGAAAGAAATATGATTGCTCTTAAATTTCCAGACTGGGTAGACTAAGCTTCAACAAGACATACCACGTATGTCCTAGATGAAATGAGGAAGGGGAGCTACTCATTTATCAGGTCCCTGAATTAGTCACGAAGAGCAGCTCTGTTGACTGTCCTTCTCCTCTCCCTCAGTCCACCTGGAAGGCCGCTGTGGTGGAAGGATGTTTGATTGCAGAGATGTGGGGTTCATAGTTGGCGAAGGAGAAGACCACGACATTCCAATCGGAATTGACAAAGCCCTGGAGAAAATGCAGCGTGAGGAACAATGTATTTTGTATCTTGGACCACGGTAAGCAGCATACCAGTTCAGTACACAGTGAAGTTATCGAAAGAACAGGGATACACTTGCTTTTTCAATCAACCTTTTGCTATTTTCAGTGAAGTTAAGGCCAACAGTGGAAACAATTAATTAAATCAGGCTACAGTTAGTCACAGAGTGAGTTAATGGGCCTTATAATATTACAGACATTTGTAAGCCTATTCACTTGATTCATGTGTGTTCAGGGTAGGACTGACAGGCAAGTTTTGCTTTTCTGTTTGTTTTGCCTGCCATATTGCCAAGACAGGAAGCTGTTGGTCCTTCTCACGTGATTCTCTTGCCCCTTCTCTCCTTTTCTCTAAATTAGGCAGGAGGCAGTAAAACGTGGGGGTTAGAAGTTGAAGAAGCATTTGGATGATTTATTACCACTTGAATTTGTGCCACCTGTTCTTATACAGACTCCCTGAAAAAAGAGTGTTCTTCCTGGATCTAAAGGCAGCGGAGATGACTCATTTTTGCCTAAATTTTTCCCATCATAAGGATATCCATTAGCACTACCAAGCTTAGAACTATTAGACACTAACTGTCTCTCTGGTGAAAACATGTTTGGTATTATTTTTAGATCTAAAATTATACCATGAATCCAACCCTTCTATCTTGAGAAATGGACCCTTGAGAGAAACCAGGGTGTTTTGATTCTGTTTGTGTGAAAGTGCATCTGCTTATCTCATGTCTCATCCCTCTCTGGATCCTTGGATTTCAGTCAGTAGGATTTTGAGTTATTGAGAATCTTGATGACCTGCACTTACCAATAGGTAATATTGTGCCTTTTGTACAGTTGGTTGCCTTTGTGTAGCCTCGGTCGTAATCCAGTGGCATATTTACCTTTGCCCTAACACTTGAGCCATAATCGTATTTCTTAAGTGATATTTTAGTCATGCCACTACCCACTTGAAAATCCTTGCAAAATGCTCTACACCTCGAACCCTTTAGAGCTTTCACTGAGGCACCTTTTATTTAATACCTTCTTTTTCTCGGTCTTATTCCTTTTTCAACTAGTATATTCCCACCTTAGTGTTTTATTTACATTTACTATGTATTTGTAGTTCACTTAGGTGAATCTGTTTCTATAAGGAACTTTTTAATTCAGGTGGTGCATAGAGAGGCTATCTCTTCCATATCCAAGTAATATCTAACTATTTTTAATCCAGCATTCCAAAGTTACAGTAGTTCTAAACTCATATAAACAGAGTGGTATTTATGTCCATGTGTTTTCAGATCTAAGTTCCTTGAAGATGAGTTCTCTATACATTGTGAGCATATAATATGAATTGGTTCATTACATTTTAACCTAGCTGACAAGCCAGTTGTGGGAACAGATGTCTCAAGTTTAATGGCAAAGGGAAACAGGAATTATCCTTATATTTATTAATGCAAATAGTTCCTTGCAAGTTTAAATTGTTGTATGATTAGTGATTAAAAAAAAAAAAACATGCAGCTTACCAGCTGTGTACTCGACTCTCCTAAGCCTTAGTTTCCCTTTATGTAAAATGGGGATAATGGTATCTACCATACAAAGTTGTGGAGGAGTGAATGAGATAATGCATGTAAAGAGTGTAGCAAAGTGCCTGACACAGCCAAACCCTTAGTATGTTAGCTATTATTGCTGTTGTGATGATTATCTCTCTCTCTTCCATTTTACTCTCAGACCATAAGGAAAGGGAAACCCCGTTTTAACATATGGTAGATTTTTCAGGCATAAAAGTTGTCAACAAGTTTTCATAAATTACTAGATATAAAAGTTTTTTCATATGTTTTATGGAAATAATTTAGCATAGTTAGAAAGGAACATGTTCTTTTCTCTTCAAGATGTTGCTTAGTATGTTGAGGAGTCATTTAAAGTGCAGAGTCTACACCAGGAGACTGTCCACGCGGGTGCTGCGTAAGATTATCCGTGTATCTAGAGAATCCCTGCCCACCGGGCATGCAGTGAGCGTGTGCAGTGAATTTGCTTGTCTTACCAGAGTCCCACTTATAGATACATTGCATCTGAGTGTGGCTATAAATATGGCTGTTGCAAATATGTGTTCTGTGTTACGCTTAGTGTCATCTGTATTTCATGCTCCAAAAACCCCAGGGCATATACCTTCCCTTTCATTCTGATAGACTCCTTGGCAGGATGTTTTCATAGTAAGGAATTCATAAAACACTTCCAGAGAAGCCATTTTCTCTCTTCTCATCAGGACAGTGTCTTTCATATTGTTTTAAATACGGTGACTGATTAAGCTCTTTTGTTTCAGGTAAAGTATGGCTAGTTTTAGCTTTTTTCCTTTTTCTTCCCTATCTTCTGTCCTGCACCAACCCCAAACAAAAACATAGGCTGCCGAGAGCCGGAGTATCTCAGTTATGCGGCAGTGTGGGTCAGAAACTAAACAACTTTCTGGGACACACAGAGTCTGAATTTAAATCCTGGCTCTACCACTGCCGCTTTGTGTGATTCTCAGGAAGCACTTCTCTCTGAGCCTCAGTTTCTTCATCTGTAAAAAGGAAGCAGTTGGTAAGAGCAGTTGCATACAAGGTGCAAGTGCTTCTTGTACGCTCATAAAGGCTGAATGGTCATTAGCAGTCATTATTTGTATCTCTGCTCTCTGCAGGCACCTGTCAGTTTAAGAACATTGATACTGGATTCCTTCTGTTACTGTAATCCAGCTTGTCTTTTGGTTAAGCCTAGAATTCCTCTTGTGGTGTTCTGTCTTTCAGTCAGATGAATTTGTGTGCCCTGGGTCCTTCCTCGCCCAGCCTAATCCAGCATAAATCAGACAACTTTCTGTAAAATAGGAAGTCAGGTTAAATGCTCCCAAAACAGTTCGGTATGAGCTTACGCCTCCCCAGGATTATGTTTTCCACATGTGTCTTCACAGAGTTTCTTCATTTGAACCCAGGAAAGACTGTAGAAATCATATCCTTCCTTAGTCTTCTTTAATCCCGTTGATGATAACCAGAACAATTTGGTGCCTGCCCTCGACCCAAACCCTCACCCTCCTCGCCCCCCAGCCACGGAACTCCTATTTTTAAGTGTTGTAAGGCAGCTGTTCGCATCCTCGGCACTATTGACATTTGGGGCCGGATATTTCTTGGCTGGGAGAGTTGTCCTGTGCATTGTAAGATGTTTGGTAGTGTCCCTGACCTCTACCCACTAGAAGTCAGAAGCCTCCTAGTTGTGACAAAGCCCAAATCTCTAGACATTGCTAGATGTCCCTGATAGGGATGGGGGATTAACCCCTTTTGAGAGCCACTGGTCTAAGGCAAGAGCATCTGTTGGGTTTGTACCTGTTTAGCACAGGGCTCCAAATAGAACATGCTGTCAGTAAACACATGCTCAGTGAGGACTCACCTGCCTACCTGATTCCCATCAGTTAAGGAATGTTCTTTTATTTACCACATGGCAGAAACAAAATAGGAGATATATCGGTCTAAGAGCTCAAAGTAGAAAACTAGTCACAACTTCCTACAGTTGGCCACTGGTAATTATGTCCTCTTTTATTTCTTTGCTGAAGATACCCTTTGCCCTGATATTAAAACTACCACACCCCATTCCTACCAGCTCTCACTCCATCTCTATGCCTCTCTCTGCCTCCAGCTTCCATTTTCTTGTGTAACAGGGGAGGTAAATGAGTAAGCATTTTCTTCCTGAAAAATTCAGGCAGGGAGTAAAGAAGTGGTACAAATAGCAAGAGGTGAGTGTTCCCACTCTAGTCCTCTAGTTGCCCCAGAGAAAACTGAAGGTATTAATACATCAACTTGGTTTTGGCCTGGTTTCAAACCATAGCCTGAGAGTTTGAGTTTACTAAGATTTTTGCAGTGCCATTCCATATACTAAAGAGTAGTTTGCTTGAAACAGATGGAGCAGAGTATATTCCAGTGAACGTTTTCCTAATACACTGGGCATTGTTCTACATGCTGGGAAACCACTGAACCAGACAGACAAAGCTCCATCAGAATTTCCATTCTAGTAGATGTGTGCTCCTTCAAATGCCTTGGATGTGTTAAAATTTTAAATGATCCCAAAAAACAAATTTATATATCCCCGTAATTTTATTCAGTAAGTTTTGGCTAAAAAGTGTAGTGTTTTACAGTGTTATAGCCAGAGAGCTATGAGAATACAGTACAGAGTATTTCTCTTGATGAGGTATTAGACTTTGCTGGGGCTGTTCTTTTTGATTATACATTTGTTTTCTAGTATGCTTTCTGCAAGTCTTGAAGAAATACTATGAGGACGTATATCCTTCCTGATGTGTGCACCTTCCCCCCACTTACCTGAATGGAAGTGGTACTTTTGGAAGGGGACAGCACTTTAAAGTTAAAAGCTTATTAAAACATACCTCTCCCAAATCAGCACTGTAATGATTATAGTGCCTGTCTTCTCTGGGTCCTGATAGAGCTTCAGGGAAAGCCCTTATAGTCAAATAATGGCTGTTTTATAGAAAGAACTAGATATAAAATCAAGCAGAAAAAGAGACAGTGACATTTAAAATCACACTAAGCAAGCTGTCCCAAGGAGTACAGGTGTTGCATTACATATGAATATGAAGAAGAAAACTAAATGCAGCCTGGTTTCTTAAAAAAACCACAGCAGTGATACTTGGCACTATATCTTCTGATCAACATCTGGTTTGTCTTCAGGGCCTTTGATGTGCGTAGTTTGCAAATGATAGCTCTATGCTGATGTGATGCCTCAAAATACTGAAGGGGGTGCCTGGAAATACACCAATTCTTTAAAGTTTTATTTTTTTTACTCTCCATTTCAGATATGGTTTTGGAGAGGCAGGGAAGCCTGAATTTGGCATTGAACCTAATGCTGAGCTTATATATGAAGTTACACTTAAGAGCTTCGAAAAGGTGAGAAAATACCAACTTCTCTGAAATCATGACAGATTTCTTCTCCATCCACTTCTTGTAAATTAGTGTCTTATATTACCAGGTGGTATAGATAGATGGTATTTGTTTGTATATTGTGCTTTTCATGACCAAGTTTTGTCTCCTGTCTCTGACGCTGCTACTAGAGCACAGGACAACTGATACAGCACAGCTGATACACAACCAAGGAGCTCAGTGTTCTTATTTTGTTCCTATGTGTCAGCCTTTTTTTTTTTTTTTATTAACTTTTTTGGGTAGAAGCCAAGACTTGTTCCCTTATTTGTTCCTAGACTTGTTCTTTTTGTACTTTTTTTCCTGGGTTGAAGACAAAAAGGTTCATGTTCTTGCCAAGCATCTCCTTGGGGGAGTGGGGTGCAGTTTTCCAGGGCTGGACGGATCATACCCTTCACAGGACTCGTGAAGAGGCCTTCACTGTGGCTCCAAGTTATCCAAAATGCAAGGGCTTCATGGGCCACCAGGCTCGGTGGCAAGGGACACAAGGAACAAACCTGCTAACCCTAGACTTTTTCTTTTTGTACCTGTCCAAGTAGAAAAAAAGAGAGCGTTTGCCTCAGGTTCCAGAAATGGCACGCCTCCTTGAGTGTATTTCCATCTCAAACCCGCCTCTGGAGGCTCCCAGCAGCAGCTTCCTTGGACAAACGCAGAGCATGTGCCTGAGCTAGGTACGCTGTCCCATCCAGCTACGTCCTCTGCACCACCAGAGCCCAGCCCTTCCCCGAGAGCCTCAGGAACTGCATCTTGTAGACCTTTTTCATCCCCACAGTGCTACCTCCATGTTCCATACTTCAAGCTTTGGACTGGAAATGTGACTGTTTTTATGTTATTAGACTCAGAAAGGAAATCATTGTCCTGTAGGCCTCTAACTTTGGGATCCTCCCCAAACAGTGATGTTCCTCATCATAACACATTCCCCAAAACAAACATATGCTCTTGTCACAACCATTGCTTGTTGTCAGGTAACGTCTTCTGAAGTCCTGCTAGCTCAGTACTGATCCTCCAAAGCTGTCTTCATAGCACAAAGTGGTTTTTATTTTTAAAGAAGGAGAAAATAATTTTTAGCAATAAAGTAACCCCCACCCCTTCCCATCACAGCCCAGTGGACCTTGTACACTCAGGAGCCTCCTCACTGTAGTACGCCACAGCGAGCCTGTGCTCAGTCACGGCTGCAAGGGCATAGGCCAGGCTGCACTGCTAGGTGTATTTGAAACCACGTGATCAATCCAAGAAGAAGATACAAGAATTGCAAATATATATGCATCCAGCATAGGAGCACCTCAATATATAAGGCAGATGTTAACAGACATAAAAGGAGAAATTGACAGTAACACAATAATAGTGGGGGATTTTAACACCCCACTTAGATCAATGGACTGATCGTCCAGACAGAAAATCAGTAAGGCAACACATGCCTTAAATGACACTGTAGACCAGATGGACTTAATTGATACTTATAGAGCAATCCATCCAAAAGCAGCAGAATACACATTCTTTTCAAAAGTGCACATGGAACATTCTCCAGGATAGATCACATGCTGGGTCACAAAGCAAGCCTCAGTAAATTTAAGAAAATTGAAATCATATCGAGCATCTTTTCTGACCACAGTGCTATGAGATTATATTTGAAACCATGTGACAGTGTGTGGCAGTGATGGAGGCAACATGAATTCATTTTCTGTTTTGTAATACTAAGAATAGATTTATAATCAATAAAGACTGAACCTAATATAAAAAATGTAGAATGCTTTTTATTAGATTTTTAAATAATAAAGTTAAATTATTAAGAATCAACATAGGGTTGCCAGGAAGACTAGTAACTCTCATTATTCACTTTAAAAAGGAGGGGATATATATACCACTGTCTTTTGAATAGAGAATTTCATATTTACCCACTTAAGCTTCATAATTCTTATGCAGTAAATAGCACTGACACAGCCATTGTCATCTTCCCTAAAGGACTGCAGATTGTTCTGTTGACTCTTTATGATCCAGCTGTTCATAATGAAAGTGCAGTTGTCCCTGGATTCGTATCTATAATGGGGGAGGAGTAATGATACACACAGTATAAATTAGCAGGTGATCATGAAAGCATTTGTTTACATCTTGGCATCACCTCTATCCTCCCACTTATGTTTTCCTTGAAATTCCTCAAGTACGCATCTGCAAGTTGCTACAGTTTGGAGGCTTTAGTATGTCTGGTTGTTTCAGAGTGGAGAGACAACTACATGACCTGGAATTTTTAAAGTGTGTATGAATGTACAACTGTGACTTGACTACAATAGTGTTACCATTTTAGAGTTGAAAAACTGAGGCTTGAGAGAAACTTGCCTAAATTATAATAGCAGTTTAGCGGCAGAGTTTGCAGGAGGGAGATAGGGGCCCCAGCTTCCATCGTGTGGCCTTACCTCGTAATTCTAAAGGCACATTCTTTAACGATGCTCAACAGTTCATCTTCCTTACGGTATTATTGCCTGCACCTCCCTCTTGAGCAGCATGGATCAAGCTACAGCTTTGTCCTCATGGAAAGTGAGTTCTAGCCTAGCAGTGCATTGGCAAGGGCACACAGTTTTAAAAGCCAGTGTGTTTTGGGGTGTGGGTATCCTCTAGGAGTAGCTATTGTTTCTTCTTAAGGACATCAGCTGATGCTTTTTCCTTCTCTGTTCATCTAACCATTGTCACACATTTACACAACAGGCCAAAGAATCCTGGGAGATGGATACCAAAGAAAAATTGGAGCAGGCTGCCATTGTCAAAGAGAAGGGAACTGTGTACTTCAAGGTATGTGGGTCTTTGTACAATCCTTCCCATCTCAAAGAATTTATTCAAGTATCAATTAATTGTGCTGATATTCCCTATTCTGAATTCTATACCCTTCTGGATAAGAATAAGCCTGAATTTTTACAAGTCATTTTCAGTATAAGAAATGGTGAGACAGAATGAATTATGTGACAAAAAGAATACAAAAGCCTCTTGTACACATTCTACTCTAGATTGTAAGCCTCCGCAAAGTCAGACCAGGTCCGGCTTGCCCACCCACTGTGTATCACTCAAGACCTAAAGTATCTTGCTTGGTACATAGTGGTCACTCAACAAGTGTTTATGGGACGAAACAAAGAATGAATAGAATAATTGTTAGCAAGTAGTAGAATTCAAAGGGCTAAGTTTCATATCATTTTCCTTTCCACTGTCTTGGGGAAGTCACTTAGGTACATGATAAAAGGAAAGATTATGCACAGATTTCAAAAGGAACTGGCAGGAGGAGAGTATAAATTTCTTCTAATGGCCAAGATGATCCCTGCCACACTTGCTTTTGTGAGAAAAAAGCAGAAATTCCTGAATGATATTTGTCATTTATTGATTCTTGAAAACACTTTCTTATAATCTAGGAATGTGTTGTTTCCTCACTTAGATTTTAAACCCGATACAGTAAAAAAAGAAACAGCACTTTGTTCAGTTCTAATCAGAATGTACTATCCATTGCTTCCCCATTGCCAAATATTATACCTTCTCCACATCGAGCAGAAAGGGCTTAGCGCAGAAGAGAATGAGAGAAAGAATGGGAGTTTTGTCAAGGTTTCTTTTTTTCCTTGCTGCTGTGATCCAGGAGCAAAAAAAAAAAAAAACAATTAGATGATGTTTTCAACAGTCTATCAAGCAATGATACATCAGTGTACTTCAACAAGTCTTCATGGAGAACCTGCTGTAAGACATGTCCTTGTGTTGACAGCCTTGTCTGAAGGGAGGGGAGGCAATATTAACCCACATGAAACAACTAGAGAATTATGTAAGACTGTATAACCAAAATAGAATCATGCAGCCAGAGGGCAACAGGTATGGTTATTATTTTCTAAACTTTGAGAGGAGCCCCATTATTGAGTCATGAAATCAGTTTAGTGGAAGTGTATTGCCTTATGTAGTAAGGATACACTTTGTTTCACAAAACTTTGTTCAGTTGTGTGTGAGTGGGTACTAGGTCATAATTTAAAACATTTCTTACTGTGGGTGTAGATAATATATAATTATTTCTATTTATTTATAACTATTACATATATTAAAATAATGTATGGATCACCAGAAAGCATTAGGATATGGCAGAATGACCTCTGAATTGGGAAAACTGGGCTTTATGGCTCCAAATGATTTAAAGTCATTTAAGGTCCAAAGAGATTAATTTTTCATGTGAAAAGTGAGGGAGTTAAATTAGAAGACTCCTAAGTTTCCTTCCAGCCCTAAAATTCGGTGCGTTTCTGAACTCTCAAGAACAACTTTGATTTTTTTAAATTCTAATTGAGGTATTGGATACCTCTGTAACTATGAATAGGTAGATTCCAGATGAGTTATTTGTAGACCCAAATACCTAATACACTAGAACAAAAAGAAAATTTTCTGTAAAATTACTTAAGACCAAAGGTCCTGAACTATGTTTTCCTATCTACTTGGAGTCCATAAAAGTCTAAGTGTATTTTTTATATTTCCCAAAACCTCTGAAAAGAATATTAACATTTGGTAGAGGGGTTGCAACTTTTGGCATTTGACTAGAATTAACTCGATGTAATAAAACAGCTTGGCTATTCAGAAGCTCTAATTGGTTGCTGATGACTTAAATAATGTTGTGAAGCCACGTGTCATATAGCTGTGTCCTGAATATATACACAGAGATGGCCAGAATTTACGATCAGCAACAGAAAGCAGTGTTAAATTGTCTGTACAGTTACTAAATTTTGTTGCTTCTTAGCATCATAACTGCAACAGTGATTTGTGTATTTCATAATACTATGAACCCTCTTAAAATTACTGATCTTTGGATAAAATCTGGATCAGCAGTCACACATATGGAACATATTATTTTTAACATGCAATTTGATAGACAAAATCTTTCAAAACATTAGTTTATTGGGGGAAAATTAATGAAAGGTTCAAAACCACTGACCTAAGACCTTTCCCCCAGAATGTCTCTGAACATTTTGTACTACTCAGAACTTCCCTGGAGGCACCTTCATAATTATAGGTAAAAGATCCCAGCAGTGATCCTAGTTTTACCTGTAAGACTTCAGAAATGGTTGGTAGGTGGGTTCCTGCACACATTCCCTTTTCAAATGTCAGGGCAGGTATCAATCTGCCGTGCTGCCTTCCCGGCCCATAGAGTTTCCAGGGTGTTTGACTTGGCGCCTTGTGCACAGCGCAGAGCCCGGGTGTGTGGGCCAGAGCAGAGGTGGGGTACATTGCATGCCACCCGCACATTGGAGCTCCATTTTCATTGACCTCTCAGTTTGGTTTACACGTAAGTGGGTAAGTCTCTCCCCGTAGTTGGGTAGAATTGTAATAAGCCTTTAAATGGGAGTGATTTTGGCGTTTAGAGTGTAAACTCCTATCAACCTCTGCGCTAAAGAGAAGAAAGGTAGGAGAGGACTCTCTTCATTTGGCTCTGAAAATAATTATTAAGCACGTTTAACAATGTGATGTTACGCCAGGCATTGTGCAAGTCAGTTAAACAGACATGATTTTTGCCCTCATAGCTGACAGCATCCTGCGGGACAAGAGCATTAACTATCACACGTGTTTCTCTTTTCTGACTTGGAGGCAGAGTGGTAAGGCTGAGGACACTTTCTAACCAAGAGGTTCTTGCGCCCCCTTGTGCTCCTTGGGGAAAAAAGCATTTCTAAAGCAAGCTAGTTAAGGATCGTCCTTCAACCGTGGAACCCTTTGCAGACAAACCAGGCTTTGCTATGTTTTGACCACCATTACTGAACCAGGAAACCAGTGCTATGATTTAGAAAAAAGTCGTCTATGACTCTAGGATTTTAAAAGGTTAAAAAAGGTTAAAAGGTTAAAAAAGGTTAAAAAAATAAAAACCTGCCCCTCTTTCTTGTTCCTTCACTCTTTTAGAGCAGGATTTCTCAACCTCAGCACAATCGACGTTTGGGGCTGTATAAATTCTGTTTGGCAGGAGGCTGTTCTGTGCATTCAGCAGCATCCCTGGCCCCTACCCACTAGATGCCGGTGGTACACACATATTCTCCAGCTGTGACAACAAAAAACGTCTCTAAATGTTGCCAGATGTCCCCTGGGGGCAGAATCACCCTAGTTGAGAACTCCTGTTTTAGTACATCAGAAGCAGAAATAACACAGAGGTCTTTGTTCATTAGAAGTTGAGATATAAGTAAAATTATATATACTATATAAGAAAAGGCTATCAAAAAATTAGAGTGCTCTATAAGGGTAAGGAAGATTTATGTATTATGAAGTCTAATACTTTGGGTTTTTTTTTTTTTAGAAACCATAGCCTCTACCATTCTGATAGTCAGAACCTACTGAAGTGATAGGGTCTGGATCTTTGTCCTCCCTGACTCTTCTTTTCTTTCTCTATGACAATGTATTAGTCAGAAAGGTAATTGGAACACTAAAGATGGAGGAGGAGAGAGAGGAAGAAGAAACTAGGCGTAACAGGGAAAATGCCTTACCTAATCTAAATGAAGTGACACCTTTTATTTTCACCTACGCCTCCATTTTGCTCCCAATGATTGAAAAACTTTTGATTCCATAGTTATATTCCTTTGACCTTAATGTTTACTTAGCACACCTTCATTAAGGGTCTCCTTATGTTAAACCCTGGATATTCCAAAAGGGATAGGACATGCTTCCTGTCCCAAAGAGCTCACAGTCCAGCAAGAGAAAAGACAATGACAGAAGAGGCCCAACCCTGAAACTGGTGAGGACTTTAATCTTGAGTAGTGGGCCTAAGGCTAAGACAAACTGTAAGTACAGACAACCCCCGACTTACAGTGGTGTGAAAGCAATACACATTCAGTAGAAGCCACACTTTGAATTTGGGGTTTGACTTTTCCTGGGCTGGCGATATAATCAGCAGCAGTGAGCACAGCTCCCGGCCCTGCAACCACGGAGGCAAATAACCAATACAGCCATTCTGGACCCACACAACCATTCTGTTTCTCACTTTCAGGACAGTATTCAGTAAATTACATGAGATATTCAACACTTTATTATAAAGCAGGCTTTGTGTTAGATGATTTTGCCTAACTGTAGGCTAATGCCAGCATTCTGATCACACTTAAGGTAGGCCAGGCTAAGTTATACTGTTTAGTAGGTGAGGGGTAGTAAATGCATTTCAGCTCCCCCGGGGTGTGTTGGGAGGTAACCCCGTTGTAAGCTGAGGAAGATCTGTACTTTCAGACCCAGCCCCTCTCCTTGGAACTGGTCTACCCCATCCTTATCACCAAAAATCAACGTCGGGGCTTCCTTTCTACAGATGCAGCTCATTTTTATGCCAACCACCTGAATTCCTTTATAACGGGAACATTCTTGTAGACTTGGTCTGTGATTTTTCTCTTCTTAGTCATTGGGTGACGTTTGGAGTGCATGGGGAGACATAACTCTACACTGATGTGTATGCCCTGCTTTGACTGTGGTAAATTCTAGTGACATGATCTCAACACTGTTCACTGGTCAGACATTGAATTGAATGTCCTAAGAGATGTGGCTGCAATTCTGCCATCTGGCGGGATGTGTCATGTTTTCGAGCTTATGGTCACCTCCTGCAGAGGAGACCCCTCACCTGTACCCCCATCTTATTTGTGTACTTACCAGCTATCACTCCTCTCATTCATCCTAAAATGGCAGTAAACACATTGTTTCAGCCCATTATTTCTTGTATAGAGCAGATATAATTCATGTGAATTAATTACACAATTTTTGTTCACAATTTTTAGAATTCTAATCAGGTAAGAGAGCAAAAATATGGTTAAGAGAAAGAGCTTTCTCATGTAGTTAGGTGACTAACACCTGTGTGATTTATGTTTTATAGTTATTTATGTTGGATGGCTGCTCTTCAACTATGTATATTCCCATTGTCTATAGATCAGAGGTTAGCAGACCACAGCCTGTTTTTGTAGGTAAGGGTCTACTGGGACGCAGCCACGCCCCTTTATTTATATATTGTCTGTAGCTGCTTTTGTACTACCAAGGACAGAGTTGCAACAGAGACTGTTTGGTCTGCAAAGCCTAAAATATTATCTGCCCCTTTACAGGAAATGTTTGCCAGCCCCTGGTTTAGATAAGATTCGCTGGGTTTGGGACTAGCACTTGCCAAAATATAGTGTGTGCTGTGCAGTGCTGATCGTCAGGAGGAGAAAAGGGAAAAGTAACTTCCCTTCAAGTAAACTAGTGAGATAGTCTACAGCTACTCACCAGCCCTTTGAAAGTCTGGTAAATTTTAGCACCAAAGAATGTAACCCAAAAGCCTTGATGCCCACCTGCTGAAAGAACTGCCCCCTCTGAAAAGGGTGAGATGGTAAATGCTGGACAAGAGCATTACGGTGCCGGGCCCTGCACCAGCTCAGAGGTCACTGGAACTTGAGAAGGAAGGGGGAAAGCTGCCTTGAGAGCCACCTCCTGAGAACAGAAGGAAATGATCAGATACCTTGGTTGGTACGAGGTGGTTGTCTCCTTTTGCGGATTTGCTTTTCTCAGGGAGGGCTGAGCTTACACATCCTTTGTACCCGCTCCAGAGCCTGTACAGCAAGTAATTACTGGCTTTTCTGTGTTAGGGAGGCAAGTACATGCAGGCGGTGATTCAGTATGGGAAGATAGTGTCCTGGTTAGAGATGGAATATGGCTTATCAGAAAAGGAATCGAAAGCTTCTGAATCATTTCTGCTCGCTGCCTTCCTGAACCTGGCCATGTGCTACCTGAAGCTTAGAGAATACACCAAAGCCGTGGAATGCTGTGACAAGGTAAAGTGTCTTCATGTGGGATGAATGTTAGATAGTCCGGATCTTTTTTCTCCATCCTCGTACTCAGTCGTCGTCTGCTTCCTCTCAGCCAAGCTTTGGATTTTTCATTTTGCTTTGTTTTGTTTGGGATTATTTGTTTCTCAGTAAGAATTGGGAAGTTCAGAAAGATTTTTTTTTTTTACTACAGTCATACTTTCCTAATGCCTAGAATATTTATAATAATACATTATGAGTAAAAGTTTTGATAAAATGAAGCAATTTTTATCCATGACCTTAAGTCGATGGTATTTGGTACCAGATTACACAATTTAATAAGAACATTTAACTGAAGCCTTTTAGGATTTTAAGAACAGACTGTGGCTGCTCATGCAGGGATATATACAAGTCACTTTTTATTATAATCATATTTATTCACTGACTAGGAATATACATAAATAATTTGCAAGACCCACAAAGCATCAGCATCCCTTATTACATCTCTATCGTTAACATGTTAATAAGCAGCACCTAAGTACCAAAAGACCAGTAACAGTGTCATGTGTACGATTCTGTTCTTTTCTGCACTAGCTGATGCTGTTGTGTTGGGTATTTGGTCTCAGAGTGAGCAGTGTATATTATACTATGGGAAAAAGCTAGTAACTGGATATATCTTAAAGATAGACAAAGGAAAGAGGAATAACACGCAGCTATTTCATACCTTCTTTGTAAGATTATTTTTGAGATTTAAGATTTTGAGTTTTGTGGATGTGTTCCCTATCATGTTATACTAAATTTTTGCCTGAGAAAAGAATGTTATTATTAATTACATTTTTAAACTTTGTGCCTCTTTATTATAGAAGTAGTATAAAGTCATTCAAAATTCAGACACTACAGAAACATACAAGAAACTGAGTCCATTCATAAAATTCCCATTGACCCTGTCCCAAGACCACAATCATTCATTTCCCACACACCTTCCTTTTGTTTTTCCATACATAGTAACATGTATATTTTTTAATGAGAATGTATAGATGTATAAAACAAGGACATCTTTCTGCATCTATCAGTTCATCATATAACTCTTCTTCATTCTTTTTAAAGTCTATATAGTATCAATTGTATGCATCTATCATAATTTATTTAACCAATCCGTTTTGGTAGATTTCCAGGTTTTTGATATTATAAATTATGTAGTGTTTCTCTGCATATGTGTGGAATTATTTCTCTATGATAAAATTCCTAGGAGTGGAAATACTGGGTCAAAAGATGTTATTTTAATATATTTAAATTTTAATACTTCATATATTATTGAATATTATAAGTGGTTTCCTTTCTCAGTAGTATTGGTAACAAAAAATTCTTATTTTTATTTCTTGGATACCAATGAAGTTGCACATCTTTTCATGACTTGTTAGCCATTTGTGTTTCTTCTGTGAATTACTTGTTCACATCTTTCCACCAGATTATTTGTTTTTTTATTGATTGAGGTAGCCTCACATTATCACTGTTAACCCCTTGTCTGACAGTAGGGACCTTGTTCTCACTTGCTTGTCTTTGATGATGGTATCTTTTTCTGAAAAGAGTTTTAATATTTCATAGTAAAATCTCTCTTTTTAGAAAAGTCTTCCCCATCCTACAATAATAAAAATAACCTTGTTCAGTACTTTAAAAACGTACTCCAGGGCTTCCCTGGTGGTGCAGTGCCTGCCGATGCAGGGGACACGGGTTCGTGCCCCGGTCCAGGAAGATCCCACATGCCGCGGAGCGGCTGGGCCCGTGAGCCATGGCTGCTGAGCCTGCGCGTCTGGAGCCTGTGCTCCGCAACGGGAGAGGCCACAACAGTGAGAGGCCCACGTATCACCAAAAAAAACCTACTCCAACTAGGTTTACTTTAAAAAAAATAAATAAATAACCCTATTATATTTTATGGGGGGGTCTTTTGCATCTAGTTGGTCTAGAATTTGTGTGTTTATGATACGAGGTAAGAATCTAACTTATTTTCTACATGGATAGTCACTGCCTTGGCCCCATTTATTGGAAAGTTAATCCTTTCCCTACACGATTTACATTACCATCTTCGTGATTATTAAATCTTTTTGTATACATACACATGAGTCTGTTTCTGAATGCCTTGTTCTCTTCCACTGACCTCTTTGTCTGTGGAGTACTTACCACTGTTTTAATAGTAGTTTTAATAGTTTCAATAGTTGAATAGTATATCTTTTTCTCTGGTGGGTCAAGTCCCCTCATTATTTTTGTGTTTCCAGAATTTTCTCTGCCATTCTTAGTCATTTACTTCTTCCACTGGACTTTATATGAACTTTTCAAAAGTCCTCCTCCCAAGTCCCCTGGGAACCTTTATAGAAATTGCATTAAATATAGAAATTAATTTGGGTATTTTGATCAGTAGTATATAACTACCTTGAGCCTGATCTTTTCAATATGCCTTTTCCAGTTCCCTTGGCCAGAGACCTTTCTCTCCAAATTCCCACAAGGTACATGCATCCTTTCTAAAACATAGACCATCTGTCCCTAGGCCCTTGGACTGGACAGTGCCAATGAGAAGGGCTTGTACAGGAGGGGTGAAGCCCAGCTGCTCATGAATGAGTTTGAGTCAGCCAAGGGCGACTTTGAGAAAGTGCTGGAAGTAAACCCCCAGAATAAGGCCGCGAGACTGCAGATCTCCATGTGCCAGAAAAAGGCTAAGGAGCACAATGAGCGGGACCGCAGGATATATGCCAACATGTTCAAGAAGTTTGCAGAGCAGGATGCAAAGGTATGTGCAGAACCCACTTGCCTTCAGGTAGATCATGAACTGACTGACCTTGCCCCTTTGACTTTTGTTCTAAGAAGGTTCAGCATAGGACACGGGCACAGGAAGACAACCTAAGAGGCACAAGAATAGGGAAAATGATTTCAGATCTGATTGAGGCTGGTTTGCATCCAGAAATAGAGTAGAGCTGTTCCACTATTCTGTTCCCCAAAGGCACATAGTTGTGAGGCCCTGGCATGTGCATGCAAGAGAAGAGGGAAATTAATTCCCTAGAAATGTACTAAGGCTTTTATTATTTTTTAAAAAAAAACAAACAACACTTGCTTGTTGAGACTTCGATTTTCCTGGGAAATGGGCTCTGATGGGGAAGCCCCGCCATCATGCCCTTTACTTTGAGGCTCGGGAGCCAACCTAGCGAATGGGATAGGAGCAGTCAGCCTCGCCTGCAGCAGAGTTGTATTCTGGTCCTGCGCTGACCGTCCGGCTCAAACCCCCTTGTCACGTGGACTTGACTGTTAAACAGCTGTCCCTGTGGCAAGCTGGTCACTTTAAAGAAAGAAAAGTGAAAGCCCTCACTCTAACTATGGCAGCAGAGCCATGACACACAGCTGCACAATCTAAATAAAGTCACGGTAATGCCCTCTTGTGTTCGACCTGACAGTCTGGAGGAGCCAGGAAGTAATTGGACATTTCATTTCTTTTTTCCTCTAATCCTCTTGATTTACTTCTTCCACAGGAAGAGGCCAGTAAAGCAATGGGCAAGAAGACTTTAGAAGGGGTCACCAATGAAAAAGAAACAGCAAGTCAGTCGATGGAAGAGGAGAAAGCCGAAGGCCATGTATGACACCACGCCAAGGAGGGAAGAGTCCTAAGGAACTCGGCCCCTCCTCCATGGGCTTTCACCCAACTCAGGACTAAACAGTGTTTAATGTAAAGTTTGTTATAGTCTATGTGATTCTGGAAGCAAATGGCAAAACCAGTAGCTTCCCAAAAAACCACCACCCTGCTGCTGCCCAGAGCTCTCATCGAGGGGGTGGCATGGGACCACTCCAGGTGGAACAAAGCAGTGACTGTTGGTGTGGAGAGATTGAGCCAACAGCTTAAGTCCAGCTCATTTCAGTTTATGTCAACTTGCAATATCCAGTTCAGGGTCTCTTGAGATCATCCTAACAATTGGGGGCTGGCTGTTAGGTTTTCCATTTGACTGAACTTTAATAGCACTGCAGAAACCTAGAAATAAATGCTTAATGAGTTTCTTCTTTCCTACAGTTGGGCAGGGGAGAGTTGGGGGAGGTTTTGTTTTTCAAATGACTGAAGTGCTGTGAATGCATGCTGTTGCATTTTTAACCAACAGAACCCAAAGGAGAGGGGCCGGGTCCCCCCTCAGATCCCCAGCAGCATCACCGACCTGGAAGCCAGAATCTCAGAGGCCTCTCGCTTGCTGACTTGGCTGCCTCCCAGACCCCCTCCTTAGTAAAGCAGCCTCCTTGTGAGAGCAGGCTTCTGCCCCGCCAGCCTGTCCCCCCGGAGGAGGAGCCCTGTCATTCCTGAAATACTCAATGCTAATGAGCAGAGGGAATTTCTGGATTAGCTTTCCCTGTTTTGGATGAAGTTCTGAGATGCTGAAATGTGAATAGAACTATCAGAATTGTGCTTTTTCTTCCCTCCTCTATCCTTTTAGGAAAGAATGTTGAATCCAGTACTGCCTGCTCGCGTTGCTACCATTCAGTTTCTTACTTCCATTCTAACCCTTGCTATCAAGAATTTCAGGCTGCTTCTTATAATATCTGGAGTGAGTGAGTTTATTTACGTATCTGTCTAGGATCCATGCAGCCTTTTTGTTGTCTTTTTAAAATTGCTGTCTCATAAACACATGTATACTGATTTATGGAAGTTTATTTACTCTCTCCTCTATCATGTTAAAAAAATTTTTTTGACTTTTTACTATTAAGTAGCTTAATTTTTAAAAACAAAATCTGTGGGGTTGAAAAAAGTCATCGCTCTTCTATGTTAAGCATTTTCCTTTCAGGTTTGACATATAGTAGCTTTCTTTTCCTGCGCTGATAGCTGCTTTGTTCTGGTGTGAGTTGTGAAAAAGAGTTGAAAACAGCTTCCCATGCAGGTACATCTAGCCTAAAATCTCCAGTACTTGGGCATTGAATTAGGGCAAGTCTTAAATATGTACATGTAGTTGAATTTTAGTCCTTACGGGTAAGCGAGATTAAGCATGGCTTTCTGGTCCCACAGCCTAAGAAATAAGAAACACTCATGGGAATGCATTTGGCAACCCAAGAAAATATTTGCTTCAACCTGGAACATCTCACTTTTTTAAATCCTAAAGAACACTGGCAATTGTATTTTAGATTAATTTTTATTTTTATAGTGGTTTTAACAAAACACTTATTGTTAGGTTAGGTCCCATGTTAAAACCTAAAGTCATTTCCTTTTATATCAGTTTTTGTCTCCATGGAACAAATGGAATTGTTTCTCCCTTAATGATAACTAAAATCCTTTTAATTTCTCATTTACACGTTAGTCTTTTTTCATGAGTTATTTCTTTTTTTAAAGAAATCTCACCTAGGGAATATAAAAGCAAAAGTTGATTTTGCTTATCCACTTAACTGTTTAGTATTTGTAGCTCTGTTGACTAGAGCATGACTCCAGTGAGGCTAAGGTTAAAATTAGATCCTAAAAAGTCCAGTTAGAAAAAACTGTTCCAAAAATCAGATTATTATCTTAGCCCACTGTCTCGTCTGTTATGAGTCATGTGAACAGGCGAGGAGAGAGAGGAGAAGGCTGGGCAAGTGGTTTGGAGCAAATGATTATGAGGTGCCCATCACCACTCAAGAGAAAGAAACTTCACATATTCTTGTATCAAATTCAATAATTTTAAACAATTTGTCTAGAAGTCAGCAGATGTCTTTGAACCATCTCTTAGACTGCATTTGGAGTGGTGAGGCAGCATACGGTGAATTAAAAACAAATTGGTTTTTTAAAAAAAAGTATTCAGATGCACTTTTATGGTGTTCCTTAAATAAATTAAGAAAAACAGATGATGTGATTTCTCATTATTCTTGGTTTTGCTCAAATAGTCTTCAAGAAAGGTTGTTTTGGTTGAAAAACTGTGGTGGGGGACAAGTTGAGGAAATGAGACCTCAGAAACTTGGCAAGAGACAATATTCTCCTGCCCCTTGCTCTAACGCACAACTTGAGATCAACATTGGGCTAAAGGCAGTGGAATTATGCATCTTTGTAAAAACAAGAAGATTTTGTTTTTTCATTAACCAGTGGATAGTCTGCCATTTTAACTGAGTGTAAGGTAGGTTCATTTGGGGAAATGAAAAGGTTTAATTGTGCCCTTTAATAAATATGTAAAATATAAGTAAGCATTTGTCAGGCAATGTTCTGCGTTAAGCATGTATTTCCTCAAGTAGCTTGTTAATTCTGATTCACAGTGCAAAAGACGGGGGCTGTGGGGCTGGGGGCACTACGACCCCAATAGCACCACCAAGGCCTACAGGCAGGTTAACACAGGCTCTGGCCACCTTTTATTCCCTTTGAATTCCTTGCTTCATCTTGGGATTTGAATTATACTCTTCCCCCTTTGCTGCTAAATTATGTGGTAATGGAATAACTCCCTTTATTTGCATGTTTTTTCCTAAACAAATAATGATTAGCTAGGGATCTTGAAGATAAGAAGAGAGTTTCCTAACTATAAATTTGTGATCTGGGTAATTCGAGGCAGCCTGCACCTGCTCCAAAGCATGAGGAATATCAGTGAAGAGTTTTCTCCATAGTTATTTGGCCTTTAAGGCATCACTTCGACTCCTCTTTTAGCATGGTGCATCAGAATGTATTCCAAGGGACTGTCACCAACATTAGTGACAAAGAGCATTAATTTGAGCTGATTCATCAAAATCCAAAAGCAGTTCCCCAAACTAGCTGTATATTTCCATCAACTGGCTACTTACGTGTTTGAATAGCAACGACTGACAAAAGTGTACGTGAAAGGAACTCTCAGTGCTTCCTTTCAGATTTTTCTCTCCCACTTGTCTGACATTTCTTTGGGAGATAGGGAAACTATACAGACAAGGCACAATAATTTTGACCCTGCTATTTATATAATTCATCTCAACATAATCTACATGTGCGACCTTCATGATACATTGCAAGAAAGGGGACATCACTGAATGTAGCTCCCAAGAAGACCTCTGACAGCACCTGTTGGAGCTAACTGCTACCTACAGATGGGATGACTGGAACATAGTCCATATAGCAGGGATTCCCTGAGGAGCCTGAAGAATCAAGGATATGAGGAGGACCCAGAAGGGTGAAGTGGTCATCCAGGTCACCTGATGCCCTTCTGTAATTTCAAAATAAGTCTTTTTCTAGTCTAAAGCATGATTCTTTTGGCATATGGCATAAGATGTTGATAGCTCCTTAAAATCCCCAAGCATTTGGTGGAACTGAAATGGCAACAGAGCCATAGGCCTCATAGTCTACTTTGGAGTAAATGCAGGGAATTAACCAGTATGTAAAGGGTAGGGATGTTTTGCTTTTTAAAGCATGCTCTGGGTTGAGTTAAGGAATTTCAATGTTTAGAGGAAAGAAAAAACAAACCAGATATTAGATCCTCACCACCCACCACCGTGGAATCTGGTTGGAGCCAGAAAAGAAAAGGCAAGAGGTTTTCCTCTGCAGCCTGCTCATTTTCAGCAAACACTTCAGTACCCATGTTTGGAGGGACCAGACCTTTTCAACATAACCAAGGGCAAGTAGTGAAATCTTCAGTAATCTGCCAGGCATTGACAAGGGTAGGGTAGGTACCAGTTGCTAAGAACAGTGCATAGAAAAAGCTGTCCTGCAGCCACAGGCTTACTGGTCATTACTATTTGAATTCTTACTATGTGCCAGACACTTAAACCCTCTTTACACTGAATTTCCAGATATAAGAAGAATGTGGCTGCTACACTGTTTCTACCTTTGGGATCTCACAAAAGATCATGTGGTCCTTACCAACCTAAAACTATACAAGGAAGGAATTCTGGGAGATGTATTTCAAACCTGGCTTAGTTGACACATCATAAATACCCCCAAGTGTCTAAGCCTCTCTTGAGGCATTAAATATATTCCTGGCCTGTGTCTACTTTGGATAATATGCTTTCATAAAATAACTTTAAAGCCAAATCATACTGCCTACAGCAAGAAATTATCTCCTTAAAAGCTTCTGACTGAGGAGATAAGGTGGGCAGAATAAGTAGCTAATGACTAGTATTGGGGGAGGCAATGGCTAATTCTAGTTACTCTAACTGATTTGATGTCTGCTTACAACCACATTTCCACACAGAACTTCTGATCTTTTCAGTGTAAAAACGTGAACCCACACACATACCCTTGCCCTTTACAGATACCAAAGTCTTCCTAAAGGTGACACCAGCCAAAACAATAAACTCATATGACCCCCCACTGAGGGATCAAGGAACTCATGCATTCCTTTACTCATCACCATCTCAGCATTTAGTACACTATGCCCAAACTAGTACTTAGTAGATGCTCAATAAATTTGCTTCCTCCCTTTCTCATAAGGCAGCCTCACATCTCTATTTCAGTGGCCCTTCATTCCTGTTACTTGCCTTGAGATGTGGAGGCCAGAACCACATGGTTTTTCTAGCAATGCCGGCAACCTGATTTTGGTCCTTGATGTATTGGGAACCAGCAACAACTTGACTTGGGGCAGGGGATATAACTGCAAAATGGATCTGTGGTCTTCAGGCCACACTGATCTTAAATCTATTTCCACTATTAACTCAGAGTTCATCAGCCCAACAGATCATATGTGAAGTGGAGGAGGATTCTGGGGAGATGGAAGAATAGGAAGCACCAGGAATCTCTCTCCCACCTAGACAACAACTACACTGGCAGAATCTGTCTGATCTAACTATTTTGGAATTCTGGAGTCTGTTGAAACCTTGCAACTTCCAGGCATGGATGGTATATTGTAGGCAATTTTAGTCAATTTCGGCTAGTACAATAGCAGCTACCCATCTACCACCACCAGCCACATGGCAGGCAGCTCTGCAGGTTTTCTGGCACAGCTTGTGGGAGCTAGGGTGGGCAGAAAGGATTCTGTCCCCTGAATATTAAGCATCTGTCCTCTCAGTAGGATTGCTGCTTGATTACTGAAGTGCAAAGAGGCAGGAAGCCACTGTCTCATCTCCCCCGCTCCCCCATCATGTTAAGCCCCTCCATCTCTGGCTCAAGTGACTTCCAGGGGAATTTAAAGGACCAGTGGCCTTTTGCCCTCCCCCCCGCCTTCACTTTTTGCATTTTCCTCTTTCAGGAACCAAACATTAAAGACTAGGACATTCAAAAACAACTGCCTATATGGGGAAAATTAGAAAGTGACAATATATGTTCAGGGAAAGCCTCAGAAAAAACCTGAGAAGATGTTAACTTTACACCTCAGACCAATATTCAGCACAGAGACAGCCTACAACAAAAAACAAAAATAACAAATTAAAAAAACTCAGAAAACCCTTGGGATGAGGGAGAATCTGATTTCCAGAGTTGATACCACATTATTAGATTCACATGCCAGTGTTCAACAAAAAAATCACAAGACATACAAAGAAACAGGAAAGTATGGCCCACTCAAAGGAAAAAATAATTCAATAGAATCTTTCCCTGAAAAAGACCTCATGACAGATGTACTACCAAAATTTTTAAACAACTGTCTTAAAGATACTCAAAGAACTAAAGGTAGATATGAAGAAAGTCAAGTAAACAATGTGTAAACAAAATGGAACTATCAGAGATTTAAAAAACCTAAAGAGAAACCAAAACTATTCTGGAGCTGAAAAGCACAATAACTGCAATGAAAAATTCACTAGGCATATTCAAAGGCAGATATGAGCAGGCAAAAGAAAAAACTAATGAACATTAGGATATGACAGTGAAATTATTGAGACTGAAGAACAAAAAGGAAAAAGATTAAAAAAAGTGAACAGAGCCTAACAGACCTGTGGGACACCATCAAGTGGACATCATGAGACTCCAGAAGAAGGAGAGAAAGGGGCAGAGAAAATATTAGAAGACATAATGGCTGAAAAGTTCCTAAGTTTAGTGAAACACACAAATGTAAACATCCAAGAAGCTCAACAAATTTCAAGTAAGATTAATTCAAAGAGACCCAAACCAAGACACATTATAATCATACTTTCAAAAAGACAAAGATGGGGTTTCCCTGGTGGTTCAGTGGTTAAGAATCTGCCTGCCAATGCAGGGGACACGAGTTCAAGCCCTGGTCCAGGAAGATCCCACATGCTGTGGAGCAACTAAGCCCATGTGCCACAACTACTAAGCCTGTGTTCTAGGGCCCGTGTGCCACAACTACTGAGCCCACGTGCCACAGCTACTGAAGCCCATGTGCCTAGAGCCTGTGCTCTGCAACAAGAGAAGCCACTGCAATGAGAAGCCCGCACACTGCAATGAACAGTAGCTCCCGCTCACCACAACTAGAGAAAGCCCACGCGCAGCAACGAAGACCCAACGCAGCCAAAATAAATAAATAAATAAATTAAATAAATTTATAAAAATACATATATATTAGCAAGCCAAATTCAACAATTCATTTAAAGGATCATACACCATGATCAAATGGGATTTATCCCAGGGATGCAAGGATTTTCCAATATCCACAAATCAATCAGTGTGATACACCACATCAACAAATTGAAGAATAAAAACCATATGATCATCTCAATAGATGCAGAAAAAGCTTTTGACAAAATTCAATACTCATTTATGATAAAAACTCTCCAGAAAGTGGAGAGGGAACCTACCTCAACATCATAAAGGCCATATACGACAAACCGACAGCTAACATCATACTCAATGGTGAAAAGCTGAAAGCATTTCTCCTAAGATCAGGAAAAAGACAAGGATGTCCGCTCTCGCCACTTTTATTCAACATAGTTTTGGAAGTCCTAGCTATGGCAACCAGAGAAGAAAAAGAAATAAAAGGAATTCAAATTGGAAAAGAAGAAGTTAAACTGAC